GCGGAGCTTTGCTCCGGAGTCTGGCTGCCTGAGCCCTGCTGTGTTGGCCTGCGTGCAGTTCTTCTCTGGACTTGATGGACCCTCACTGCCGTTCCCCCGCTCTGAGTACAGTCAGGTGCTGTGGCCTCTGGTGTGCACTGGCTGTGGAAACAGTGTTTGGTTAGGTGTTAGGCTCGGCGAGGGAGAGGATGCAGGGTGCAGCGAGGAACTCCTGGTTCCACATCCTTAAGCTCAGAGTTTTGTGAAAGTCACCTCAGCCAGCATCACAGGGGCTGAAGGAAGAAGCTTCAAAGGATGCCTGCTCTTTAAACAACAGCAAAAGATGTATCTGTATGTGTGTGTCTCTGTGTGTGTATCGTTGTGTGTAGACTGTGGGTACACATGTGCCGTGGTATGCATGTGTAGTCAGAGCACAGTCTGAGATTTGGGTTCTCATTGTCCATCTTGTTGATGCTGCTGTGTGGACCAGGCAAGTTGGCCTGACTCTCCATCTTCCATCTTCCTCTAAGAATGTTGTGGTTACAGGTGTGTGTGTGTGTGCATGTGACCATGTCTGGCTTTAATGAGTTCTAGGAACCTGGATTCAGGTCCTCACGCATTTGGAGCAAGCCTGTAATCCACTGACCCATCTCCCCAACCCTCTGGTATATACTCTTAGAGATTCCCAAGGGAAGCTAGTGTCCTGCACCCCTGAAAGAAACTGTCTTAGTGAACATGTGACCTGTGCTACATGGCTGCAATTCCCAGATGTCAGGAGTGGTGCTGGTGAGGTCTTGCTGTTCATGAAAGCTATGACCAAGGAAGGTTGCAGAAGGTGGGCTTGCCTGTCAATCCTGCACAGCAGCCTCTGAACATATATCCTAACAGCTGGGACCTACATCTGAGCATCTGTCCTAATAGCTGGGACCTGCATCTGAACATCTGTCCTAACAGCTGGGATTTGCATCTGAGCATCTGTCCTAACAGCTGGGATTTGCATCTGAGCATCTGTCCTAACAGCTGGGACCTGCATCTGAACATCTGTCCTAACAGCTGGGACCTGCATCTGAGCATCTGTCCTAACAGCTGGGACCTGCATCTGAACATCTGTCCTAAGAGCTGGACTTTCCTCTTTCTGCCACATCTCTGCCTTGGACTCACAAACATGTCAGTCACCACAGTCGTGCACAGTAGGGGGCAGACTGTCTAGACTCCTACTGTCCTCAGCGACTTCTGGCTTCCTGGTCCTTCAACTTGTTATCAAAGATGCTTTCCGTATTTGAGGAGTGCCCACAGAGCTAGAGGCTGGCAGAGGGAAGACATGTCTCATCTGCCTCTGGGGTCGAGGCTCACAGAACTGAGATTTGGTTTCTCTGTTACCCACACCTGGTGTCAGCCTGGACTGGAAGCTACCCCTCTTCCCTCCCTCCCTCCCTTTCTCTCTCTCTCCCTTTACCTGCTATCTATGTGCATGTATGTGTTTATTTAGCATTCCTGGGGATTGAACCAAGACCTTCTGCGTGCCCGGCTGGTAGTCGTCACCGAGCTATCGCCCCAGCCACCTTTGCATTTTTTTTTTAAATTTTTGAAACAGAGTCACAATTTCCCAGGTTGCCCTTGGACTTTCTGTCTTCCTGTGCCCAGGAGTCTGGGGTTACAGGTCTGTCCAGCAACCTGACTAGTAGCCTGCAGATCCATGAAGATGGGTCTGGTTGTCTTGTCTAACGTGCCCAGGGCCTGTAGGGAGGAAAAACAAGCAGAATTTAAAAGGGACGTTTATTAATTCACAGTCCCTAGGAAGGCCTATTTCTAAAAAGTCTACTTTGTAAAGAGTTTATGACTCTTTATACCTGTCATGCACACATATGCACGTATATACATACACATGCATACACAATGCAAAAATACATACATACACATGCACAAACAGTGCACACACACATGCATACATACTATACACATGCACAAACATACAGTGCCTGCACACAAACATGTACATACACTTGCATGTGGTGTGGGAGGTCCTTCTGTCTGTGTTTCTTTTATTGGTTAATGAATAAAGAACTGCTTTGAGCCTATGGCAAGGGCAGAACAGAACTAGGCAGGGAAAGCTAGGCTGTATGTTGGGAGAAGGAGGGCAGAGTCAGAGAGATGCCATGGAGCCGATGCCAGAGTCAGACATGCCAAAATTTTGCCAGTAAGCCACTGTCACATGGCGATACACAGATTAATGAAGATGGGTTAAATTAATATGTAAGAGTTAGCCAATAAGAAGTGAAAGCTAATGGGCCAAGCAGTGATTTAAATAATATGGTTTCTGTGTGATTATTTCTGGGCTAAGCAGCTGGGAACTAACAAGCAGCCCTCCTCCAACATGCATGTACAAACACATGCACACACATGCATAGACATGTGTGCACAAACACACGCATGCATGCACATGTGTTTTCATATATACGCACACATGTGTGCAAAATAAAGACACACATATGCATGCATGCACAAATACATGTGCACACATGTACGTGCATGCACAAATATATGACACACACGCACATACACATGTGTTTTCACACATACGCAATGCAACATATACACACATGCACACACACAATCTCTGAGGTGATTGATGTTCCTAAAACCAGAACCTTCAGCATGGTTGCAGCTGTGATCACAGTTGCCCTAAGCTCTAAAGGGGCTGGGCTTCTGCTGGGCATTTCGTGATACATTTATCAAAGCCACAGCTGGCGGCATGTGACATGGCTATTTGCCACCAACCTGTTGGGGGCAGCTAGCATCCACAAGGAAAGGACTTCCATCCACATCATCAAATCCCGGCTCTTCGGTGATTCACTCTCACAGACCCGACTCCTGATTATACTGGAGGTGTTGGAGGCTTTTTAACTGAACTGTGTGGTGCAGCTTAGTTAGACAAAGCAGATGAGAGGGGGAACCGGGACTCAGCTTAGTGTCTTCCACTCTTCCTTATTCCCTTTACTTTGTAGGACTCCCCCCATCCCATAGCCTGGGAGCCTCCAGTCCATCCCAGTTAATCCTCTCTGGACTTCTAAAAGTGTTCATTCGCAACGCCACAGATGCTTCTTAAGGGTTCACATGGACGGTGAGGCCCAGCCATTGCACCAGGCAATAGTGTTCTTGAGATGGTTAACGCCAATTTGACAGTCTCTAGAGTCACAGAAGAGACAAGCTTCTGGGCTTGCCTGTGAGGGGTTTTCCCAGCTGGGTTAATTGAAGTGGAAATACTCACCCTAAAAGTGAGCAGTACTGTTCTCTGTGCTGGGGTTCTGGATTACAGGGGAGGGGAAGGATGAGAAAAGGTCTCCACTTCCTAAGTGCAGGTGCCTCAAACTGTGAGCCACATGACCCTTCCTTCCTTCCTTACGATGCCTTTGCACGCTATTTCCTCACAGCGCTGAATACTGTCCTCTGAGCCCAGCATGGTAGGACCCGAAGAGTTAAAGCTACAGATCAAGGGCATAGGGGAGACACCAAAGGAGCTGCCATTGTCCTTGGAAGCAGCAGCTAGATCATTCCCAATCTCTCAGACCTGGGTCCTCTCACTTCTGGGCTCTGCTTATTTTGTTGAGATGATGTGGGATTCCCCTCTGTATGCTATGAATATGTTTTATTACCATTGGCTATTAAAGAAGCTGTTTTGGCCAATGGCTGGTAAAGTCAGGTGGGAAATCCAAACAGAGGTATGCATGTATATATATACATGCTCGGTGCTGGGCTTATGGATAGACATGCACCACCACACTGGGGCTGTATTTGTGTTGATTCTCAAGGGTCTCCAGAACTCCACACAGTGTGGAATCAGCTCTCCTCTGTGTCCCACAGCTTCTTGATTTGACCACAAAGGGCTGCATGTCCGGCTGGCTCCCGGCTCAGCTATCATCTATCTGGCAACCCTAGTTTGTCTACGCCGTAGGCAAGGCAAGGCCGTTTGGGAGCTGCTTCCTCACAGTGACTCTGAGGCCGCGCACACAGGCTGATATCTTCCTGCTGATCCTCAGCCAGGGCTCAGTGTGGGCACTGTTGACACCAGATAATGTCAGTCTGGCTGACGCGGTGACTGGTGAGTAAACACAGGTGGTTGAACCACCGACTTCCTGAGAGCATCCACAATCAGAGATGCACGGAAGTTGAAACAGGAGGAGACCTATGCCCTTGCCCTTTGCACGTGCTGGGAGATGAAGTGATGCCTGATCCATGGTGGTAATCAGCCACCCCTCATTTCCCCTTCCGCCTGCACTGTGCATTTTAATAGGGTCCAAAACCTGCTTGGCATTTTACTCCTTCTCTCATCTATAGGGATCAAAGGCTCGTCCAGGGTTGCTTAGAATTCTGTGTGCACACAAATGACTCTGATCACTCGTGTGTGTGTGTGTGTGAGAGAGAGAGACAGAGACAGAGAGAGGCAGAGAGATAGAGATTAACTTAACTATTTCTTGAGACAAGGTCCCTCTCTGACCCTGGAGCTCATCAGCTTGGTCAGAGAGCTCTAAGACTGCCTGTCTTCATCTCTGGCATGGGGTTTCGGATAGGTGGTACCATGCCCAGCTATCACATGGTACTGGAGATCCCAAATCATGTCCTCACGTTTGCAAGATGAGCATTTTACTGAGTGAGCACAAAGCAGCAGTAGGTGTGTATTTAAGGGAATACCCTCCAGGATCAGGAGGAAGCCCCATCACTTACTGTCTGGGTGACCTGGGTGGGTAACTGGATCCTGCAAGTATTGTGTCACCTATAAAATGGGGTAGAGGGAGGATCCTCAGGAAAGATGGTCACCATCCCAGTGCCATGCAGCATGCCCCGAGACATCAGCTTTTCAGATGTAGAGATGCAAACATGAAATGGTATAAATGTGATTTCTAAAATTATTTTATATTTGAGCGGTGTGGGTGCTTACACATATGGCACACACGGATATCAGAAGACAATCTCGGTCTTGGTCTTCAAGCCCCTTCCACCCCTTGCTTGAGACAGATCTCTCACCGGCTTGGACTTCGCCACGTAAGCCAGTCTTGTTGGCCCACGAGCTTCAAGAAAGCTGTGTCTCCCACCTTGGAGAGTTGGAACGAGAGGTGTGCCCTGGCTTTCTTTGTCCTCAAACTCCCTTCCTCATGTTTGTAAGGTAAGTGCTGGACTGACTGAGCCATCTCCTCAGTACTAAATGTGATTTTTTTTTTGACTCATGACCTTGTGGACAGCTGGTTTTTTTCCTCTTGTGGAGTGTCACCATGGGAGGTGGTGGATTCTCTGGGGTGTCTATCACCTTGGGAGGTAGTGGATTCATGTGTTGGTCAATCAACTGAATTTACACTTTAGTCATTGGAAGACTGTGTTAGAATAGAGCCATCAGGTATAGTGTTGTAGAATATTATTCTAAGATGTGTTGCATTTGTTTATGCTGTGAAACATTTGCTTAATGATGCGAAGATGCGCTGCATTCTTTTATGTTGCATTTGTTGATATCTGTGAAGCTGTGTTATTTTACCTGTCTGAAACACCTGACTGGGCTAATAAAGAGCTGAACAGCCAATAGTAAGAAAGGATAAAGGATCGGCAGGGAAGATGACTAAGAGGAGAAAAAGAGAGAAAAGGAGATCAAGGAGTGAGAAAAGAATTAACCACCTAGCCACATAGCCAGACACAGAATAAGAAGGAAAGAAAAGATATATAGAAATAGAGAAAGGTAAAAACCTGTACTCTACAAAATGAAAAACTTAAAAGGAAATGGAAAATTTTCAGGATACGTACCAATACCAAAATTAAATCAAGACCAGGTAAACAAATTAAATAGACCTATAACCGCCAAGGAAATAGAAATGGTCATTGAACGTCTCCCAACCAAAAAAGGTCCAGGGCCAGATGGTTTCAGTGCAGAATTTTACCAGAATTTCAAAAAAAGAACTAATACCAATACCCCTCAAATTGTTCCATACAATAGAAACAGAGGAACATTGTCAAACTCTTTTTATGAGACCACAGTTACTCTGATACCCAAACCACACAAAGACACTACTAAGAAAGAGAATTACAAACCAATCTCACTCTGAACATTAATGCAAAAATACTCAATAAAATACTGGCAAACAGAATCCAAGAATAGATAAAAAAAAATTATCCATCATGACCAAGTAGGCTTTAACCCAGACATGCAGGCATGGTTCAACATACGGAAATCTGTCAATGTAATCTACCATATAAACAAACTGACAGAAAAAACCCACATGATCATCTCATTAGATGCTGAAAAAGTCTTTGACAAAATTCAACACCCCTTCATGATAAAGATCTTGGGGAGACCAGGGATACAAGGATAATAAAGATAATATATAACAAGCCAACAGCCAACATCAAACTAAATGAAGAGAAAAATGGCCACTCAGATGCAAATAATCACACAGAAACTATTAATTACAACACTACTTGGCCAATGACTCAGGCGTATTTCTAGCTAGCTCTTACATATTGAATTAACCCATTACTATTAATTTGTGTATTGACACGAGGCTGTGGCTTACTGGTAAGGGTCCAGCATCTGTCTGCTTCAGCAGCTACATGGTGTCTCCTGACTCAGCCTATTCTCTGTCTCTGACTCTTCCAGCCTGACTGTATTCTGCCCTGCCATAGGCCAAAGCAGCTTTATTCATTAGCCAATAAAAGCAACACAGATACAGAAGGACATTCCACATCAAGAGAAACTCAAAGCAATCTCACTGAAATTAGGAACAAGACAAGGCTTTAATATAGAACTTGAAGTTCTAGCTAGAGCAATAAGACAGCAAAAGGAGATCAAAGGGGTACGAATTGGACAGAACTAGAAAAAAAAAACCATCCTGAGTGAGGTAATGCAGACCCAGAAAGACAAATATAATATGTACTCACTCGTAAGTGAATATGAGACATAAAGCAAGGGAGAACTAGCACACAGTCCGCAACTCCAGACAACCTAGACAACAAAGAGGACCCTAAGAGAGACATACACAGATCCACCTAGGAAGGAGAAAAAGACAAGATCTCCTGAGTGAACTTGGGGCATGGGGAGCAGGGGAGATGATGGGAGGGGAGAGGGGAGAAGGGAGAGGGAGTGGAGAAAATGTATAGCTCAATGAAAACAATAAAAAAGAGGAAAAAAGTAATAAAGAAAGGTAAAAGCCCAGAGGCAAAAGGTAGGTGGATAATTTAAGAAAAGCTAGCAAGAAACAAGCCAAGCTAAGGGCAGGCATTTATAAGTAATAAAAAGCCTCTGTGTGTGATTTATTTCTGAGCTGGATGGTAGCCCCCCCTAAGAGCAAAGAGGCAATAAAGTAAACAAACCCCAAACCAAACCAACAAGAGTCAAGCCGTTGCTCACTGAGAGCTAGTTCATTCATTTATGCATTGATACATCATCTGTTTTAGGACATATGGGAAACGAAAGCTCCCTCGGTCTGCTTGCTTCTTCCATGAGAGGGGTGTAAGAGTTGAGGAGTTGGGGCCCCACCAGTCCATCCCATGTGGATACAGGACTCCTTTTAAGAGGCACCACAGCCAAGGCGCATCCTGTCTTCCTGTTTCCTGACTCCTCAAGCCTCCCAATGTACTGATCGATGCACATTCGAGGGCTCTCTGGGTGAGGTGGCCCTGTGGTTTTTTTTTTCCTCATCCCCTTTGTGATGTGGGCTCACAAGGTTTAAGGGATCAGAATGGCACTTCCACCTCCCACCATGCCAAATCGTGATAGGTCTCCTGCCTCTTCCCTGGGCGGCATTTCTCTTGGCACAGCCTGAGGTCTTTCTCCATCCTCGCACTTCATTGTGGGTAGCTGAGGGAAGCTTTGTCCCCCACATGGGTAGCAAGAAGAGTGTTCATAAAAGAGAGCATGTCCACCTTTCTCTGCCTTTCTTCAGGCTGCGAACACGCTTTCCTGCAGAGAGCCCTTAACGAGTGCTCAGAAGCCGGAGTGTTCTGATGCCGGCTCGATATTCTCCGCTCAGAAGCAGCACCACGGTTAAGAACGTTTCGATTTGAAGAGGAAAGTGTGGCAGCCACACGAGTCTCTCGGAGCTGTTGGGAGCCTTCAGCTAAAAGGGGTTTAGTGTGGAAGTGGTGGCTGCTGACATTGACCCTGGGGCCAGCGATGTCAGACTCTGATGTGGCCCTGGCTGTCCTTTGCTCTCTGCCCTCCCTCCCCAGTCAGCACCACAAACATGGTGCTTTACACAGCTGGGCTTAAGGAAGAAGTAAGGCGGCTTAGCAGGGGTTCTCCTTTGTCTCTCTCATGAGGAGGCCCCATAAGGCTGCTCTTCTCCTCTCCCTTCTCCTGTCAGAGCAGGTCTGGACATCAGCTAAGGGCAGGTCCCACCTTTTTTGACACGATCTCTGTCCTACACTGAACATCGGGGCTCATTTAAGATGGTTTCAGCTGCACACCCAACCTTCTTTCTTTAGGATTCGGAACTCTGAATCCTGGCTTGGGGCCTGTCACCGTCTTTTTACATGTGTGATATACATTTGCGGTGGGTCACGGGAATAAGCGGCGATGTGAGCTTCTGGTGAAGGGTGTCACACAGCGTGGCTCTGACGGAAGGCGCCACAGAAGTAAATGGCTTTGCGAACAGGTAAAGCAGAATGTTCTGCTTTCTTTTTGTCTGTGTGTTTTTGTCTCAGAGTGGGATTGGCCAGCTTCCTGGACATTTTCCAGGCCCGTGTTGATACTGTACAGATATGGATGCAGATATCAGCCAAGATACAGTCATAATTACAGTCCGTGGTTCCTGAGAATATCAGCTCAGCAATACAGGCCATCTGCCAGTGAATGTTCTGAAGATATCTGGTGAGTGCCCAGTGCTGGGGCACACTGAGGGGCCTCTACTCTGCAATAAGCAACTGTCACTGGGGTGGGGGTGGGGCTGGAGCTGGGTCCTCATCCCTAGCTTGGTCAACAGCCAGGTCTAGTTTCTATGTCCTTGACTTCTGGAAAGGCCTTGGGGCTTACTTAGCATTTCCCACTTTGAGTCCCCCACTACCAGCACCACTAGACTGGACCCTCTGAAAGTTGACCACAGATGATGTGATATTTTGCTCCTAAACACTTGGACTGGGCTCTCAAGAGCAAGAACAGAACCTTCCCAACCAATGCCCCCCAGGCCCTGAGCCGAGGTCCCACACATGTCCTGTATAGAACTTCTGCTTTCTTTTGTTCATGTGAACATGTGTGTGCTTGTACGTGCACACATGTGGAAGCTAGTGGTGGACACTGGTTGTCTTCCTCAATTTCTCTCCATTTTGTTTGTTTTTTGATCTGGGATCTCTCACTGAATATGGAGCTAGGCTGGCCAGCCGATAAGCTCTAGAGATCCACCTGCTTGAGACGGCCGTGCCCTGTGTTCAGTGTTGGGGATTTAGATGGTGCCTGGCGCTACTGATTCAGCGGTGCTGAGGATTGAACTCAGGTCTGCCTGCCCACACAGCAGGCACTTCACCAACTCAGCCATCTCCCCAGCCCCTACAGCTATTTTCATTTGTTTTAGATCCTGGAACCCAGTCAGGGCTGCAGATTGCCTCTGGCCATTAGATACCTTTCATCTTCCCCAGTGTCCTGTGCTTTCCAGCCCCCTCCACTCCTCCTGGTTCCAAATCTTCTGTTTTCAAGACATTTACATCCGGTGAGTGTGTCTTCGTGACCACCTAGGTTAAATATCCCTGGGGAGTCTAAGAATGGCCCCCGGGGGATGCTGTGTGCTCCTTAGGGTTGTACAGTGTTAGGCTGTATCCCGGCACTGTGAACACCACAGTTTGTACTGTGGTGAGGATGGTTTTTCCTCTGTCACAGAGCACAGATCTAGAGGGAAGGAAACCGCACCAGCACTTTCTCTGATTCCAAGGGAACCAGACTGAATCAGAATAGCCCAGCCCCCACACAAACGGGGATTTATTGTCTCACGTAGCCAGCAAGTGATTCTTTTCTAGATTTAATTTGCCGATGTTCGGGTTGGATATCATGTTATCACACACAGGTTTGGTAGCTTGTTTCTCAAAGTCAAGATGATCTCAAATGGCTGATTCTCCTATCTCACGCATGCCTGGAAGAACCCTACGCCCTCCCCATTGCTTCAACCCTTTGCTATGTCCCCTTCTGTGGGATTTATTCACAAGAAACTGTTTTAGCTGAAGGCTCACTGACCTCAGAGTCAACCACACCCCAAAGGGAACACTCATCTTGAAGGACGCTTTTGCGCCCAAGGCCCGGGGATGACCCCACTGTTTCCTTCTGCTGTAGACTGTCAAGGCCCTCTTGAAGCTGGAGTGTTCGCATGTGGCCTCCTCCCACCATCTTCCTTGAACTCTGCTTGCAAGAAAGGACTACCTCAAAAGGCTTGTATTGAAGCAGAGTCCTGGCACAGACACCTGCTGGTGGGGAACCTAGGGCCCAGGACCAGGGTGTGTGCTGCTTGTTCCTTCAGAGGCCGTGGAGCCATCAAGTCCCCTCCAATGGCTCCTGGACACCATCGTACTGGCAGGCAGGGGACGGAGGTGGGTGTCAGGTTGACTGACCCTATCTTGCTGGTGATGGTTTTGCCCATCTTCTGAGACTTGCTGTGCCCATCCGGTGCAGACTCAGAGACTTGTGCACACTGTCTCTATGGAGAAACTGAAGCACGCAGGGGAGGATCACTGTCCTGAGGCTACACAGGCAGTTAGTGGCGAATGCAAAACCAAGTTGGCCCAGTCAAATCCATGCTCCGGGGGGGGGGGTAGCATATTATTCTGAGTAATAAGCACTTCAGATTTCAAAGACCTTTTTAGCTCAGCCCCTGTTCTGCCACGACAGCCCAAAGCAGCCATTAGACAATATGTAAATGATTGGACATGGCTTCACTCCAGAACCGTTGTAGGAACAGCTGGCTGTATGCAGCTCCCGGGCTGGGTCTGCCAGTCCTTGCCCTTAGCCAGTAGCAATAATGGAAGCATGGGGCATGCTTCCCAGAATGCCCCGGTGACCTCTCTGTCCTCACCCAAGTAGGCGAGGAAGTTTGCACAGACAGCAATGGGCTGTAGAGGAGGCAGAGGTTCTGGAAGCCAAGCCAACTAGAAGACTCTGCTCTCTTCTGAAGAGCTATGGCCTCCTGACTAGAGGCTCTAGGGGTGTGCTAACTCCAAGCTGTTTAGAAGCACTGCAAGTTGCATGCTGCTCTCTGGTGTGGGTAGCAATGGATGCTCCTTCACCTTGGCTGTGGGGTTAATGGCATCAGATATCACCTCAGTGCTGGCATGACGGCCAAGGTGAGGGTAAGACAGGCAGGTGACTACCTACACCGGACACAGGCTGGTCTCTCTAGCTTAAGGTAACACTAAAAGCAAGTTAAGTGCTTTGAGAAGCCTGAAAAATGCAGCTTATCAAGGAGTGTTTTGTGGGGCTGGAGAGACGGCTCAGCCGTTAAGGGCACTGACTGCGCTTCCAGAGGTCCTGAGTTCGATCCCAGCACCCACATGGAGACCATCTGTAGCTGTGGATGGGATCAGATGCCCTCTTCTGGTGTGCAGATGGATGTACATGCAGGCAAAGCATCCATATATATAAAATAATAAATCTTACATTCAAAAAAAGTATTTTGCCGGAGGAGCAGATGTAGAATAAGTATGAAGCATCTTGACAGCTCAGAAGGGAGGGTTAGGAGACATGGATTTTCCTGTCTTTAAGTCACTGCTCCGCTTCAAAGCAATAGAAACTCCCACTCCAAGTGAGACACAGTGTAGTATATAGTTAGTACACTCACTCGCACATACGTGTACACACACATACACATATGTACTCACACACGTGCATGCACACATGCACACTCGTACAGCACTGTGGTTGGTAGTGCCTGAAAAGAGACCAATGCTGAGAGCGGCTGATGTGCTTCTGGGTCTAAGCAGAAGCACTTGTGGCTGGGCTGTCTCCACTGTCTCATTTAAATCAATTGTGCAATTACCAGTCTTAACCAAGCCAGCCAGAACCACTTCCATGTTTCCAAGAGACCAACCTTCCCTCTCTCATCTTAAGGCCGTTTATCTTTTGAAACCTAACAATGGCTTGAGCACTTTTTCATGTCTCAGGTTAGGTTGCCGAGGTCCCAAGGGAGAGCCTCATTGATCCTGGGCCTTGTGAGCAGACATATTCCACCTATGGGAATGCCGTGGTTGGCAGAGTACTGTCCTGGAAAATGTGTCCCTGTCATAAGCCTTGGGACATCAAAATGTGTTACTAGCAAAAGGGATTTCAGACATGATTAAGGCCAAGGGCCTCAAGATGAGGGGATGTCCCTGGAGTCTGAATAGACCAGTGTAGTGGTATAAGTCCTCAGCACAGTGGAAGAGAAGGCAGGAGATGACCTGAGGGCTGAAGATATCATCGCATCATGGTGGGAGGGGATACGGACTCACCCTTGATGGCTTTGATGACCAAACAGAGTGAGGAGTGGAGGCAGCCCTCAGCAGTTAGGGTGGCCTTCGGGCAACAGCCCTCACCTGGTAACAACCATATTTTCAGGACACCACATTTACTGCCTGGCCTTGCCAGCACCCTGCTCTGAGTCTTCTGAGGCCCACGCTAGGTAACTGTGACAAAAAGCTGATACTGTTTCAGTGGCAATGGATCCCTTCCATTTTCAGAACATTCTGGTTCACAGATGTCATAGAGAAGGTTCTAGAAGAGTTGCTCACAGAGCAGGATCGATGGTATAGAAACTCTTGGGTGAAGACAAATTACTAAGGAATTGGCATCTGAGAAAGCCCAGGGGACCCAGTGCAGGCAGAGCACCTAGCCTGCAAGCACTTGGAAGCTGCTGCCGAGTCCTTGGACACCATGCTGGGCTGGTAGGTGGGCTTTGGTGGGCGGGACCAGAACAGGCAGAGGACACCCTGCTGCAGAGCACGCTGGTCAGCAAAGTCCCTTCATCATCTGGGGACAAGTTTGAAAGGGCAGGCTTACTTGTTCTTTAAACAAGAGCATCGAGAACTAGCATGTACCAGGCACTAACCTCTGCGGAGGACGCAGCGTCAGGCAAACTCTCTGCTCACCCAGCGCTTGCATTCTAGTCTGAGAGCAAAGTCATAAGCAAGACAGCAAATAAACAGAGGGATTGCTGTTAGTGTGTATTACAAAGACAACTAACGCCGCTATCTATGACGGGCCACAACCAGGGTTAAAACCACGGTGGTTGGAGGAGTCGTGTTCTAGGTGGAAGGAGCGGCTGGCGCAAAGGACATGTGGTATGAGTGGTGCGGTCATGGTGGGAGTGGTGAGGTCACAGCTGGGAGTGGCATCGCCATGGCAGTAGTGGTGTGGTCATGTCAGAGTAGCGTGGTCATGTTATGTTGGAGTAGCATGGTCATGTCGGAGTAGTGGTCATGTCATGTTGGAGTAGTGGTCATGGTGTAGTGACATGGTTATGGTGGTAGTGGTGTGGCCATGTCAGGAAAGTGTGCACAGAGCCTGTGGAAGAGCAGGTGAAGGAAGAATGGAGTGCCTTGGGGTCAGACTGCAGAGGTGCTCAGGGACCAGATCAGGGAACGAACAAACGGTGTGTGGGGGGTGCTGTGGAAACACCGTAATTAGTTAGACCTGGTGGTGACCTGCAGACAGGCATGTGAGGGCTGGGTGGGCTTCAGAGCAATGTCCATGTTCCTGCCGAATTGGCTGCAGGAGGGAGGGAAATAAGAGCCTGTCTTTCACGAGCTGAGACAGGGCCTGGCCTGGGAAAGACTGACATTTCCTGAAATACTGTTTGCTCAACTGGAAAATGTCAACACAGGCTTTCTCCACATGCGGAGAAATTCAGTAATTAATGAGGACCCAGGGCAGGAACCAGATCGCAGAACAGGGCTATCTCCAGACCGCAGAACAGGGCTATCTCCAGACCGCAGAACAGGGCTATCTCCAGACCGCAGAACAGGGCTATCTCCAGACCGCAGAACAGGGCTATCTCCAGACCGCAGAACAGGGCTATCTCCAGACCGCAGAACAGGGCTATCTCCAGAGCGTGTAGGGCTTGCTGCATTGAAGTCATTTTCTCACAATCAGGGCAGGCAAGCACAGAGAAGCCGAGTGACTGGGCTAAGGTCACTGCTGGGGTCTCTGACACCCCAACTCCCGAGTGGCAGAGCAGCGACTTGGGCCCAGGCTGTCTGAGTACCAAGGCTGAGCTTGCATTCGGCGTTCTTTCTGAGAGAGTGGACGCATTTACATCTAACTACACAGCTGCATTAAGCAGATGCTTGCCACCTTTGCCTCAGTTAAAGCTTTCATCCAAGCTCCTAGTTCAAGATAGACAGCAATTTTATTCTCCAGAGGACATTTTGCTTGTTATAGAGGGGACCAAATCCCTGGCCACGTAGAGATGGGAAGAGTCGTCCGTGGCTCTGGTTTGGGGGCACTGCCACGTGGTGACAAGAGCATGGGGTGACTAGTCACGTTTATAAAGCCACAAGATGACTGCAGTCAGGAAGCAGAGAAGAGCTAGCAAGCGGGGCTGGTGTCACCTCGTAAAGGCTTTCAACCCTCCAGAAATGGCAGCACCATCTGGGGGCCAAGGGTCCAATCACACGAGCCATTGGGGAACAGAATCACCACATGGGGGCCAAGGGTCCAATCACAGGAGGCTAAGGGCACACCTAAACCACCCACCAGGTATTCGAGGGCTCCAATCCCCAAAGAGCTTTTTAGCCCAAGCCAGGGCTGTGAGCCCCTAGTGTTGGAGAATATAGCCTGTAGGACGTACATACACACGTGAATGGTGACACACAGCAGTGTGAGGGTGACCGTGCTCTGGTCTGTAGTGACAGAGTGCGGGGACCCTGGGAAGAGGCTTTCCAGTCATATCTTCTGTTCTGAAGCATGGGAAACAGGATTCACTCTCTAGGGGTCAAGGAAGGGACGGAGAGCTGCAAGAGCTGCGCGGGGAAAGGGAGATCTCAAGAGGACCCGTCAGCCTTCAGGGGGTCACCAGGGCTGGGGGCCAGAAGATGGACAGCACCATGTGGGTGGAGCCCTGTGGATGGGGGAGGCCCGTGTTCGAGGGCACCGAGGTGAGACTCTAGTGGGCGCGAGGTGTAAGGGGCGTGGTTCTTACAGACAGGCCTGGGCAGGGTGAACTGCGAGAGTTCTCAAGGGCTAAGTTGTTTCCTCTTGATGGAAGTTCAGCGGGGTAAAGCCGGGTCCTAGAGGGCTTGCACAACAAGGCTTGAGTGTGGTGAGGATTGGAACGCCAGCAGCGTCTCAAGGTGATATTTTCTCCATGTTTTGGGGCCATGGACCCCAGCGGGTGAAAGGTTAAGTGGTCACTGCAGAAGTGGAGAAGGTGAGGTCAAGAACCAATTATCCAAGTGACCACCCCACCACTACAGACTTGGAAAGGAGGCACTGTGAGGCCAGTGTCTAGTCCTCTGGGGCTGTCTCCTGCATGGACAGCCAGGGACAAGGTCAGTGGAGGCTGTAAGCAGAAAACCTGGGACTAAGACCATTGTGAAAGAGTGAGGCCGATGGGGCTGTTGTGGGTTAGAAGGCAACCAAGAAACTAAGTCAACAAGGGGGCATGGTGGTGCTCGATGACCACACACAGCGAGTTGTCCTCCTCCTCTCGCTTCTCCTCTCGCTCCTCTTCTTTCTCCTCTCCCTCCTCCTCTCCCTTTTTCTCTCCCTCCTCTCCTTCTTCCTCTTTCTCCTCCTCTCCCTCCTCCTCTCCCTCCTCCTCTCCCTCCTCTTCTCCCTCTGCTCTTTCTCATCCTCCTCTTTTCTCCTTTTCCTCTTCCCCCTCTTCTTCCTCTTTCTCTTCCCCCTTTCCTTCCTTCTCTTCCTTCTTGTCTCCCTTCTCATCTTCTTCTCCTTCTCCCCAAAATGTCCATAGTGAGTTTTCCTTTCACAATAGACTGATCTGAATCAAGGGGCAGGAAAGGACTTGAGCATCCACATCAACTGATGGAACAAAATGGCAGAGCTAGAATCCAAGAAGCCACTGGGTCCTTCTGGAAGGCAGAGAACTTCCGGAGTGTAGTTTACTCTGGAAGTGGGAGGTCTGGGTGAGATGACCTCAGGAGCCCATGCTGTAGGAGGAAAGAGTCAAGATGGGGGGAGATCCCTTCATCACAGGCAGGCAGGTGATGCTGTTTTTCCCTAGAGGTCCCGACCCCCGCCTTCTCCAGTGCCTCTCTTTTCCCCGGGAAGTCCAGTGTCCCTGTGACCTTGGAAGGAGCTGCCCGAGACTGTCCATGCAGCTGGCATCCACAGCCCTGAGCCACCAGAGCGTGGAGAAGATGCAGGTGTACCTGATGCTTCTGCTCATCAGCTACTTGCTGACTCCCATTGGAGCTTCCATCTTGGGGCGCTGCGTAGTGGCTAAGAGGCTCCGTGATGGAGGCTTGAATTATTTTGAGGGCTACAGCCTTGAGAACTGTGAGTAGGACCCTTGCAGCCCGTCTCTCCTCACCTCCTTGATCTCTGCTCCCCACCCTGCACCCCTTTCCTGCACCAGGCATCTTCTCACAACCCTTGCTGTTTCACCTTTTAGGGGTGTGCCTGGCTTATTTTGAGAGCAAGTTCAACCCCTCAGCTGTCTATGAGAACTTAAAAGCTGGCTACACTGGCTTTGGCCTCTTTCAGATCCGAGATAGCGACTGGTGTGACCATGGCAAGAACCTCTGCAGTGTGTCCTGCTCTGGTGGGTCCCTTCCTTTCCATCCCTCGGGGGCGCTGGAGGCGGCAGAGCCTACGTGTTCCAGGGAACTGGCCTGGGCTGTGTCTAAAGCTTGTCCCTAGGAGGTAGGGACCTTGATAGGAGAGTGCTGAAAAAGGGCATGCTAGCCTGAGAAGAAAGACTGACGGGAACCAAGGCCAGACAGGCCCAGAAGGTGCTGGGAAGGCTGGGATGTTGGAAGCAGGAGCAAGCCATAGAACCCACGCTGCTTGAGAGTGAGAAAAGATTGCTCTTTCTGGTCACTTATGCCGCAGCAGTAGCTCCACAGGGGACCCATACTGTCACCATGACAGTCAGAAGTAGTTGTAGGGAGGAGACAGGTACTGGCCAGCCCAAAGGGAGCATATCTGCCACCCTTAAATGGACCTAAGAACCTATGGCCTTGAGCAAGCAGCTGTGCTCTGTGAGTTTCTAGGGACTTCGTTACATACTTCCCTGAGCCTGTGCAGGTATCAGTTCACTCAGTGCTCACAGTGGCCTCTCGGGAGCAGGTATTGCTTCTCTTCACATTCTATAAATGGGCAAACTGGGGCCCAGAAACAGTGAGTCCACACCCAAGGCCACATGGCTGGTGAGTGGAGCTGGGGCAGACACAATTGAAGGGGCTCCGAAGTCAGGGTTACACCAAGAGGCCAGGCGTGGTCTCCCTAATATCAGGTGTTTCTGCAGCCAAGGGTCTAAGTGTTAGCCCCAGCACCCCCAGGCTCCATCAAAGAGAGAGCATCTCCCCCACCCTGGTCAATAGCGGTGGTCCAGGGTCTTCAGCTTCTGGGGGGCCTACACCCACCCACCTACACATCAGTCTCCACCCAGGCTGCAACAGAAGGTCCAGAAGCCTCTGTCCCCTCTCCACGCTGCTCTCTAAAGTCCCAGATTGGAAACCACAGGCCTTGGGTCCCCTGCCTGCGTCTTCAATGGCCGGCTGCGTGGGCCAGCAATGGGAAGTGAGGTTGTGTGGTAGAAAGGCACGCTAGCCGTCACCAAACGCCACAGCCTCATTCCGCTTCCTTCTCTTTGCAGCGTTACTGAATCCAAACTTAAAGGATACGATCGAATGTGCCAAGAAAATCGTGAAAGGAAAAGAAGGGATGGGCGCGTGGTAAGTGGCGTGTCCTTTGCAGCCCGTGCTGGAGGCTCAACAAGGCTGTTTGGGGCACTTCTCTGGCTGTGACCAGGTTCCCGACAGAAGCAGCCGAAGAAACCCAATGCATCTGGCTTGCAGTTTGAGGAGTTCGGGCTCTCGTGGCAGGGCAGTCATGGTGGCGGGAGTGTGGGAGGTGGCCAGTACATGTTAGTCACACTCAGGAAGTAACAAGAGGTAAATGCCGGTTCTCAGCTTTATTTTCCTTTTGATCAACCCAGGACCTTTAGTCCATGGGATGGTGCTGCCCACACTCAGGGTCCCTGCTCAGTGGAAGCTCCGTGGAGGTACTGTTCTGAAGACACTTAGAGGCGTGTGCTCTCGGTGTGCTTAAGTGAGGGTGACAACGACGAGTCAACACCGTGGCTCACATTAATAACTGTGTGTGTGTGGTGTATGTATAGTATATATGTGTGGTGTGTATGTGTGGTGTGTAGTAGTGCATGTGTGTGTCTGTCTGTTTGGTATATGTGTGGTACGTGTATATGTGCATGTGTGTAGTATGTGTGGTGTGTGTATAGCATGTGTGTGATATTATGGTATGTATATATGGTATGTGTGATGTCTGTAGTATATGTGGTGTTTATGTTATGTGTGTGTGGTATGTATGGTATGTATGTGTGGGGTGTGTGTGGTATATGGGGGTATGGTGTGTGTGTGTGTGTGTGTGTGTGTGTGTGTGCATGCAATGCTAGAATAGGCCATTGTGCTCCCTGGAGCTGGAGTTAGAGGCAATTGTGAGCTCTTGTGGTTGTAGGGAAATGAACTCTGGTCCAATGTATGTTTTAACTGCCAAGCCATCTCTCCAGCCCCTTCTTACTTATTTTTAATGCTTCCTTTATAAACCAGGGCTATTAAATGTTCATAATCACTCTGTGGGGGTTGTTTTCTTAGGACTGTCATTTGTGTTCTGACTGTTGACAGCATCTTCATCCTAGATGAGACCTAACAGTTTCTTAGAATCAAATCCCTCTGCCTTCTCTCTTGTGGCTTCTGGGTCTATGTAAACCCCCTTCTTAGAAATGTCTTTAAGAACTGAGGAGCTGGCTCAAATGGTACAGTACTTGCCTTGAAAGAACAAGGACCCAAGTTTGATCCTCAGAACCCACGTTTTAAAAAATGTTAAGTATGGTGACACACACTTGTAATCCCAGCGCTGGGAGGTGAAGACGGGTTGGTCTCTGGAATTCACTGGCCAGCCATTTCCGGACCAATGGGAGACCCTGTCTCCAAAGACAAGGTGGACAATGACTGAGGAACAACAGCTGATTTTATCCTCTGATTTCCATGTGCATACATACACACACACGTGCATACCCACACACATGTACTTCTGCACACTCGTGAAAATGCAGGTGCGCAGGAATCTAAGGGATCTATAGCAGAGGCTTGACAAGAACTCCATACATGTTTTCTCAGTATCAGAACACTCCTGACACCAAGCAAGCCCTTGATTCTTTGGCTAAGTATTTTTAAAATAGAATTTTTATGACTTTATCCTTTTAAGCTTAAATTTTGGATTCCTTTGTAATTAATTTTGGTATCAAAGCAAGGTAGGTGCTATGGAGCTTTAACTTCTGCCAAGCCTGCTTATTGTTGTCAACATCATGAATCGGATTTTGCGATTTCACTGCTAACAGAGCAGACTGCACCCGATGGTGGAGTCTCCTTGTTAATGATAAGCGTCTCCCTTCATACGGGGTGTGGGCTTTCTGATTAATTGGTGAGCTCAGCTGAGTCTGGGATTAACGCTAATGAGTTGAAGTCATCTTTGTTGTGTGGCAACGTGAAGCAGTAAGCTGGGTCGTGCTGGCTGAGATGCCAGACTCCTGGTAAGGCAGGCTCTAAGTAAGCTGACAGGCCGTGGATCCACCACGGCTCAGACCGAGTCACCCTGCTGTGCCATGTGAACAAGAGGAGAGACAATCTAAAGTCCTGGGGACCCCCCTCCATACCACCTGCCACTGAGCTGTGAAGAGCCATGGGATTTCTGGGAATGTGGATGTGTGTGTTTTCTGCTATTCCTTAGCTACAAGGGGTCAGGCATCATGGCCTAGTACGGTTTCCCTCTGCCGAAGATGAGTGGAGCCATGCAAGGCTGAGGAGCAGGAGTAGATGTGGGCAGGGACTTGGGTCCAGATGTGGGCAAGGCTGAGGAACAGGAGTGGATGTGGGTAGGGACTCAGGTACAGATGTGGCCTTGCATTCGGGACTGGAATGCAAGGGGAAGGACCACTGGGGAATCAGGAGATAAGGTTAAAGGATCAGTCAAATGCCCAGGAAAAATGAAGAGGCGAAGACGTTTTAGAAGCTGTGGAGTGAAGTAGGTACACAGACAGGTGGAAGGAGCCCAGGGTTAGGACACACCCGGGACCCTGGCCTAGGCAGACTCTCTGAAGCTCTCTCAGAGGAATACCTAATATGTCACAAGGCTGTGGTGCCCCAACTGGGTGGGGTTCCCGTGTGAAGCAAGGGTAGTGTGGGCACACCATGGAGTAAGCACCTGCATCCACACCAGGTTGAGCACCAAAACACATAAAAGCCTGAGGAAATGTGTTCACACTGGGGAGACGCAAATGTCCCAAGGCTGGGTATGAACTGTGTAGCTCCGGGGACCCCAAGCCCTGGCTCTAAGGAGCCACCGCTGACCGCTCTCTGGCCTTCCGCCTGCAGGCCCGTCTGGTCCAGGAACTGCCAGTTGTCTGACACTCTGGAGAGGTGGCTGGACGGCTGTGATCTATAGCCACCTGGGTGGACCTGCCCCACTTGCCGGCCATGCCTCATGACCACGATGTTTTCCTGTTTGCTGCTTCGATCCATCCAGTCATCTCACCGCTCAACAGTTCCGGATGGCAAAGGACAAGCGTCCACTTCATCTGGGGGGCGAGGTGCAGAATAAACCAGCTCAACCTGGCCCGAGGTCTCTGCTGGCATTGTTTCATTTGAGCACTACGGCCACCGTCATTACTTACCGCCTACATGATTTCCCATTTCTGATTCTTAGCGTGTGAAGGCAGGGACGTCAACCTTCAGGAAGGAAAGAAGGAAGAGACGCAGTGGAAACTGAGAGGAGCCGCAGAAGCAGGGGTGAGGGGCTGGGAAAACCGGGCTGCTTTTCCATAGCCAGCTCGGCCGGCCTTAGAATCAGTTGGGAGACACAGCTCTGCATGGGCCTTCAAGGGGCCTCCAGATTGGATTAACCGAGGAAGGGAGACCCACACCGAGTGTGTTGGCACCATTCATGGTGAGTCCCAGGCTGAATAAGGAAAAAAACAGGAGGGAACCCTTCTTCTGTCCACTGAGACATGAAAAGCACCCACCTCACGGTCACATCATGTGGTGGACACTATACAATCAAACCCTTCTTCTCAGGTCACTGTGAGAAAGTAATGGACAACCTTCCCATTGTGACCCCTAGGGGAGTCCTCACCGGAACCTACGTGGCAGGCCAGCAGAGCCCAAGACACACATGCCCTTCCACCCGTATTTCTATGGAAGGAACCAATGGCAGTCATTCTTTTCTGAATGTTAAGTTTCTAGAGGTTAGAAATAGCCCATATGCTAATATGAGCAATAGGCGGGCAGGTATTTACAGCTGTAGCGATGTCAGGTCCTCCGTGATTTCAGCACCACGGCTCTCTTCTCTAACTATGTCTCTGTCGCGGTCAGTGTTCTGTGAAGAGACACCACCAAAACAGCTCTGGTAAAGGAAAGCATTTCACTGGTGCTGGCTATGGTTTCGGAGGCTTAGCCCATCGTCGTGGTGGTAAAGCAGGGTGCCACGCAGGCAGATGCGGTAGCCGAGAGTTTTACATCCAGATCTGCCGGCAGCAGCAGGAGAGACACTAGCACCGGCTTGGACGTTTGCAATTGCAAAGCACACCCGCAGTGACACGATTCCTCCAAAAAGGCCATACCTCATCCCTCTTGAGTAGTAGTGCCACTCCCTGATGGCCAAATGTTCAAATCTGTGAGCCTATGGAGGCCATTCCCCTTCAAATCTGTGAGCCTATGGAGGCCATTCCCCTTCAAATCTGTGAGCCTATGGAGGTCATTCCTCTTCAAGTCACCACAACCTCCTTCACATGGGTTTTTGTTGTGTTGTGTATTGTGTGTGTATTAGAGTTTCCTGTTTTCAACAATGCTATAGATAGGGTTCTGTGATTCACTTTTATAGAAAGAATGCAAACCAGATGGGTGTGGTGGCCTCTAATAGCCCTGGTATCTGAAGGCTCGTAGAGAAAGATTGCTATGACTTGGTGGCCATCTTGGGCTCCGTAGAGAGATCTGGTCTCAAGAAACAAACTGGCTGGGCTGTAGCTCAGTTTGTAAAGTGTTGGCTCGGCCTGCACAGAGCCTTGGGTGGAATCCCTACCATTGCGTTAAACCAGATGTGGTGGCTCCTAACGGGAATCCCAGCAAGGCAGAGGTAGAGGCACGAGGGTCAGAGGCCAAGGTCAGCCTTTCTACATAATGGAGTTTAAGGCCAGCCTGTGCCATGTGAGACCCTGACTCAAACAGGCAAATGAAAAAACACAGTAAAACACGATTCCCCATGTTTATAACAATTTCACGCAGAAAGGGGTTTGTTTCCGAAGCACGGTGGCTTATTGAGTTCTTCTAGGAGGCAGTGCGTGTGAGACCTGGGGTTCTGGGATCCTGGGCTCATCTGGTGGAGATTTGGGCTTGGATCCTAGGAGATATCTGCGTAACTCAAGCCAGGCTACTGTGGGATCCAAGCCACCGGAGCTTGGAAGACCCAAGGCAGTGGGGTTGAGGGGGGCATTGGCTTCAGCGTGAAAGCCTCGGGCTGGTGAATGCTGCCCGTGTGAATGTGCACGGTTCATCTATCCTGCCTCCTACTGCTTGAGTTCTCTGTTTTGTCCCCTTTAAAACAGGACAGGTGTGACTGTGCCTGTTCTGGGCACCCCCTTTTGCAAGTTTAAAAACGACACAGAAGGTACCCGTTAGATAAAGAAAGCTGGGAATATAGATTAAACGGTTATTGAAAATACCCCCCCACACACACACACACGCACAGTAAACAGGTTTACATTGCTGCACATGGGTCTGTAGCCCATGTTGAGAGAGCCTGGAGGTGTCTCTTTCCTGACTTTGGGGGTGCATACACACATGCCCCCGTGGTTTTTCCACTTGTAAGCACTGGCCACTATTAAATATTCAGTATAATATCTTGCTTTTTTGGTTAACAATTTGTAACGTGACATTTCCAGTCTACATCAGAATTTTAGCCCTGTTTCTAATGGCCTCCCCATGTTCCATTTGATGGGTAATGTGAATAATCCTTTATTGCTATCCATTTAACCTACATATTAATTAAGCAGGCTGGGCAGACCACGGCCACCTTAAAGCAGACGCATACAGCAGCCTGGCTTTTGTAGACAACCAGATGCTTGTTTTCCCGAGAGAAGCAGCAGCAAGTCAGAACTTTGGTCCAGGCGGGCTCAACGCTGGTGGGCCGTTCTGGTCCTGTGCTTTCCACACAGTTGCCCCTTGTCCCTGGAGAGAAGACTGTTGCGTTTCCCTCAGACAGCATGATCCGCGCGGCCAACTGATGTCAGTGACGCTGGTTCCTGGGTTCCATAGAAGCCTTTGAGACCTCATGGGAAACATTAGTGTTAAGCTTTGGACCTGGTACTGTTTCTAAGGGTGGGCTCAAGAGCAACAGGGCACCTGATCCCAACCCAACGCTGCTGCAGATGTCGGTGACCTTCGTGACAGCCTGAGATTGGCCATAACACTATCATCTCAAGAGGAAATCCAGCTGCCACCTCCTTCCAGCCCATTACTTCCAAGGCTGCCCACTGTTCCCTAATGGCCTCTGTGTCAACAAGGGTGTGAGACTCAAGGACAAAGCAAATGTTAGGGTATTGATGGGAACGACGTTTCCCAACATCAGCTCCTGGCTTGGTGCCCTCAAGTTCTCCGCCAGGTTCCCGGCCCCGGCTTACCACCATCAAAGCTGAATGTCACTGTCAGTGTTCTGTCATTATGACTTTTAGTACCAACCATTATGAGAGCAATCCCAATTTCACACACTGCGTGGACTCTTCTGTCACCCACATCTCCAAACTTCTCAAAACCTTAGATGCTGGATATGAATTATAACCATCTTACAGGGGCAAGGCAGCCTCAGAGATGCGGGATAACTCGGCTTTAGTCCAGTAGTGATGAATATGGGTTGGGCATCTCCTTAGAACTCATGCCCCAATACCCCTCTCCCCAAACCCTGCAACTGTTATCGCTGCTAATTCTCTCTCTCCTCTCTCTTTGTGTGTGGGTGTGTAGGTGTGTGCCTGTGAGTGTTTATATGAGAGTACAGGTGTGCATGTGAATGTTCACGAGGGTGCACGTGTGTGCCTGTTCATGGGATGTGCATGTAGAGGTTAGAGACAGCCTTGGGTACTGCTCTTGAGGTATGGTCATCCTTTTCTTTTAGAGGGTTTCTCACTAACTTAGAACTTGTCATGTAGGCTAGGCTGCATAGCCACTTTGACCCCAATTCCCAGTCAGGGCAGATGGTATCGCGACACCATTTTGAAGGAAGATGTGAGTTCTACCTTTAGGTTTCACCATCAACAGAGCAGATTGTCACTGTTTATGAGACATCCCATTTATGTGTCTACACCTCGAAAGTAAGAGCTCACGCAGCTTGGAAGTGCTCATGGCTCCAGCTTGTGCTGGTTAGTAGGAAGCTGCCCCTCTCTAGCCTTGTCAGGAACCGTCGAGGGACTGGTGTGGTCCCAGCGGCGGCTCCCTGGGGCAGTCTCCACTCACAGTGATGACTGGGTGTCAGCCCTGGAGATCAGCCGAGTCCGAGTCCCCTGCACAGAAGCCAGGCTCTGAGTGGAGGCACTGTATTTCTTTTTATTTCTCTTCGCTGCTTATAGAGTAGTCTGAACTGAGATGCACAAATTTCTTTGTATGAGATCCATACTGGTGGTTTATGAAATTTATATCATGAAATCTATCACCAGTTCCGTGTGAAGCAGTTATTTGGAGCCCAGCATTTCCCAACCTGGGGCAGAGTATTTAATCTAAGTCTCACTTACTCAATCTGTAAAATGAGAATTATAGTCACAACCTCCCATTTGGGTGAAGCGCTCCCGAGACTTCTGTCTTGTCAATTTGACTGGATTTAGAACCACCTAGAAGACACAGCTCTGGGCATGTCTGTGAGGGTGTTTCTAGAGAGGTTGACTGCCCTGTGTGAAGGCTGCACCATCCCACGAGCTGCAGTCCAGAACTGAACAGACGGGACGGGGAAGCAGTGAACACAATGTTCCTTCCTCCCTGCTTCTGGCTCCTCAAGAAGTGAGGGGAGGGGCCAGTGAGGGCCATACCTGCCGCCATGCCCACCTCACCACCATGGGCTGCACCGTCAAACCATGAGCCCAAACAAACCTTCCTACTGTGAGTTTCCATCAGGTGTGTGGTCACAGCAACAGGGAAATTAGCACAGTGAGAAAAAAGGAGACTTCAGAGACAGGACAACACAGGGACCTCATGGGCACACTAGAAGAACCACACCTGAGTGGGATGGGAAGTCATGTGCCTGTGGCTGCAGAGATCAGAGTGGTCCTCTCTTGGGCCGATTGGAAGAGGGGGAGAGTATACAGAAAGGTTGGAAGTCCAATGAATCAAGGCTCCTGGATTCTCACCCCCGAATGGAAAATAGTGCTTTCCTGACTGCTGATGGGGCTCCTTACCGAGCAACAGAAGGCGCACACACCCATGCTTGTTCGCAGTACTTCATGACTGTGACTTCC